AACTGCAAATGATAAATACATATACAAAGACATCCCAGACCTGAAGCTTTCCTTTGAGATGATGCTGGTTTGTTTTTTGTGCTTTTTAAATAATTAACAAAATCTCAAGTCAAATAATTTTACAGATTTTAAAAACCCATATAAGACGTAATCCAAAATACCTCCTACTCTTTCAATGCAAGCATCAATCACCGGTAGCCAAGCTGGAATCAGAATTAAGATGCACTTACAGACACTAACTTAAATTTACTGAAACAAGTACTGACCAAGCTAAGCAAGCAATAAAAGTGGTGGTTTGGCGGTACTGACTGTAGATGAGTTCCTCATTTGTTCTATAGGGCTCAGGGCAGCATTTAAACAGTTTTGTTTCTCTTTTCTTCATTTTTAAATGAAACCTTTTTTCCCCTCTGTCTCTCTTATCTATTGGTGTAACTGGTGTTGCATGAGAAATTACTTCATTTCAATGGCTGGAGCCAGTTTTTCTATCAGCTGCAGTAAGGTTTCCTCATTTATTTAATGAGCTTGGATAGGGAGGAAATTAAGTATTAGGAGCTGCAGATGAAGAAAACTAAAACAGAATTTTCTATTTAGTAGGGTGATTTAAAAAAAAAAAAAAGATCTGTATTAATATAGCCAGTACATATAATTGGTATTTGGATTATGGCATGATTATTACTTTGCAGACAGGGGACTCTGTTATCACTCAGTCATCAACGAAGTAGCTGCATTCTGTGCTCATCTAATCTCAGTAGCTGAAAGAAGAGCTAGTTATTATCTTCAAGTGGGGTTATTAATGAGGGGAAAAATCATCCCCAATTACTGTGAAGCAAAATATTTCAACATTTACATATCTGAGACTTCAATTTTGATCTAGTCCTTCATAAGTTCTTAAGCTCAGAGTGTATTCACTTTTCCAAACGTTCCCACAGCGACATATCGAGGGGAACTTGCACCTGTCCAAGTGCTGGCTTCCCCAGGTGTATGCTTCAGGGTCACAGAAATGCTGCATGTCCCATCCTTGTGTGGCCAGAGACTGATTTCCACTGAGATTCCTTCGTGTTACACCACAGGAACGGAGTGTCAAGCGTAGGCTTCACTAGAGAAGTAAGAAATTCTGACCTGCCAATATTGTCTGTGTTCACAGTCCTTTTTTTCTTAACTAGAAACAGCCTGGAATTTATGTGAAAGAGCTAATTTCATTCTTTTGCTTTTTTTTTGAACAAGGTATTGATCCTTGTGAAATTAATGGTTTGGAAGTTTTGACTCTGAACCTCCTAGAATAAAACCTAAGCAACACAAAGGTGATGATTTAAATTCAATTAAACTTGTGGGCAGTAACCAAGAGATGGGAGAAGTGCTGTCCATACTGTGAATCCATCCATCAACACAGATGCGAAGGTCTGACCTTGGCAGGTTCAGGAGGTAGCGACGTCAAACACAGTTTGCAGTCAATTGGAAATGTAGCTACTAGACAAAGAAAACTCAATAATTACACAGCTGTTCCAGTAGATTACAGATTTCCTAGAAAACAACAAAATAGCCATCTGTGAATGGAAAAAGTAAACCATCTTTTTTTTTCATTCAAAAACTTAATTCCTGAAAGTCATCAGATATGTCCTCTGTAAACTTATTATCTCTTTTCAGAACCCACAGAGTCTGTAACCAATCGGTATAGATTTCTCTACAGCATTTATGCCCATTAATGCTTCATAGATTTACAGTGAAACTGCTGAAGAAAGGACTGTCTTGGACAGCCATATAAATATTAAATTAATTTCTTGTGAAGGATGGCTGCTATTACACTAAATATTAAATGAATTCATAATACTTGGACATTTGCAATAAATCACTACTGGGACTGCATACTAACATCCCATTCCAAATCTTTTCTTTTTTTTTAATATTAAAGACATGGAAGAAGACCAGTTGCTCTCAAAGAAATGTACAGCTTTGTAACACTGGAGTCATTAACTAATTCCCACGGCACAAGGAGTTTTAACTTAGTTCCATTTTACAGATGGGGGGAGGAGGCATGAAGGAGTTTAGGTTGAATTGCTGATCACAGGAGGTTCAAACCCAATCTGTTTCTCATGAGAGACATCACAGTAAATTATCAGCTCCTGACAGTCCTTGTTTTGCTTGAAGTGCTGTGAGCAGCATCGGCAGAGGATCTGGCAATGTGATACCAGAAGGCTGAGAGCACTTGCCAGATTCAAAGGGAGAAAGAGCTGGATGTAAAGGCTAATCTCCAGGCACCCGAAGTGGTTGGTATCAGTTCACCTCTAAATATCTTGCCCAAGGCCACAATGGGAAGGATGGGACTCCTCAGGTTTTAACTAGCAGGACTAGGCTTAGCAATTGAAGTAAATCATCTTCTCTCTTTAGAGAACACAGCTCTTAGTCTCAAAAGTGTAGTGAAATGCTCAGTGGACTAAGAAGGGCTAAAAATCAATTCTTTATTTTCCCTTTTGTTAAAGCAGAACAAAGGGTACATTAGCAAGTTCATTATAGCTCTCTGTTATCTGAGGGATAGTAGCTTGAGTGTAGAAATTTATGCCAGGGCTAACCGTGTAGCGTGGAAGCTGTTCTTGTAAACAAAATTGAATGACTGTCAGACTCATCTGCTTTTTAATGTGCAGATGGGTGTGACTATATGCATCTCCTTCTTTCCAAAGATTTTTGCTTCTATGCCTTAAATAGTCTAAGTCACACAAGGTTTTTCTAATGAAAATTTGCCAAGGTATTTGAATTAGAAGCAAAAATTAGAAAAGCTGCTACCACATAGGAATATTAATTGTTCATTATACAGGGCTTTAGTTCACATAGGTACTTTGCATGTGCAAAGCTACCAATTACAGAGGCTCAAAGTGCTCACTGCTGCACAATCACCATTTCTCCAGGGCCCCACAATGGCTATTGTATTCTGTCACTGACCTTTAGACACCTTCAAATGCATATTGACACAGTACGCTGGGATCATTAGAGCTATTGTTTCAGTGCGCCACAGGGAAAGGAGAGTTTTGCAATTTTGTCAAGAGCTTTAAAATTTGATATAATGATGACAGCAGCGATATTTCTTAATTAGAGAGTGAGAGAAACACTGAAGTATTTTTCTGGTGCTTCAGGTGAATTCCAGCATGCACGCCTGCCACAGTTCCCACAATGGTCCCGTCCCGTCGGGGAAAGAAGACGTTCATCAGGGGCTTTTCTATTGTTTCCAGGGGAATTTATTTAGTATTTTTGACCTGATGGTGCCATATGGCCAGCCTCCCTTAGCTTCCATGGATTCTGCCTGGATGAACATCTTGGCAGGATGGATCCTTTCATCCTTTAAGTGACAAACACCCTTTTAAACAGAGCGTATAGTTGGAACCGGTGGTATGCAGGAGACTGGGATCTGGAAGCGTAGTTCAGACTCTGCTCCTCAAAAATCAGTGGACATTGGCTCTGTGATAGCAATTATGCTTCATTTTAGCTCTTCCATGTCTTAACATCTAAGGTATTTCTGTTTTCTTACCAGTCTGTGACAGCTAAAGAGTGCAAACAAGAACTTTGGGAGCAGAGATGTCAGATACTCCAAGTACATTTACTGTAGTAAATCCAAGCATCTTCTAAAAGCTTGTATTTATTTTATTGTAGCCCTCCTGTTCTTTAAAGCTGCTTTGAGAAATTACTTCAGCAGTCAGTGCATAAAAGAGCATCATTTTAAACCTTGCATGGGACATTTTGTCTACAGAGACTATATAAATTACTGGCTTGTATTTCCGAAGAGTGTTCCTGCTTGAAGATAGAGAGAGAGTTCTGTTCCATAAGTATTGCAGTTGCTGGGTTCGTTTTTATCCCCTGGGATCCTATTATAGAACAAATTATTAAATATAACTAAACTTCACAGCCCTGAGTCTTTGCAGATAGTCTTGGGTAATGGCTTGCACTTCTGACAGAAGAGGAAGAAATCTAACAGACTTTTTGCAAAACTTCTTGTGTCATTACAAAAATGGAAAATTTACTGCACAGCATTGCTGGTTGCAACTCCAGCCTAGCGCTGTGCCAGTTTCTGGACACAATCCCTCTACCCAAAAAACTTTCTAGCTGAAGGACATAATATTTGGTATTTGTCTGTGCTTGAGGTAAATGTGCAGCAGGATTTCTCACACTGCTATAAAACCCACAAGGTCAGATGTGTTTCTTCAGTAAAGCAGGCTGAACTTTTTTTTTCACATTAATTGAAAGGGTGTATCAGAAACCCTTGTAGAACTTTGAAACCTCCCATGCACTGCCACCGCAATTGTCAATTGTGAATCAAGGTAATACCTCTACCTTAACACATCAGGAGAAGTGACCCACTTCTGGGAGAGAGACGCAAATAGGTACAGCTGTGTGATGCAGGACATGAAGGGGAGCATGCGCTGGAAAGAGCTATTAAACCACTGTCTTGTGCCTCCATTCTCCCTATGGTAAATCCACATCAGGTAGTAAATGAGGCAGTAATGATGAGCGCTTCTCTTGCGATGGGCTGGGATCTGAAATCTCTCCTCAGACCCTTGTGCTTCCCAGCAGAGGTTTTTAGCCATAGGGCTTGATTTGTTACTTTTGGGGAGTTTCTGTATTGAGGGACAGGATTCTCCTGGAAGAGAGAGGGCAGCACTTCGATTGCCGCCTTCTCTGCATGGGAAGTTTGTACCTTTGTTGTCCCACTGTAACTGCACTATTTCTTTCAAAAGGCACATGATCACTGCCTGGGTGGATTTGAAATTTGAAAATGGAGGTAATCTTTGCAGTATGTTAGGTTCTTACTCTGCTGAACGAGTTGAAGTCCTGTTGGATGGGGAGGGATTTTCATAGGATCTTTATTATTCAAAGCTCAAGTTCTACCTGGACCCACCTCTAGTCATGGCAGTTTTGGGAGATTTCCTGCCACACACATTGAGATTTTCCGAAAGAAAAACAAAGGGAGTTGGTATGTCTGCTCACTGCCCATATTTTGTTTGGTTCCTTTGCAGAAGGAGAAGAAGAGCGGGCTGCTGAAACTTCTAGCAGGAGCATCAACAAAAAAGAAGTCGCGCTCCCCACCATCCGTGTCCCCCACGCACGACCCCCAGGCAGCCATCGAAGGAGTCCTGCAAGGGGCAGTGGGACCTGAGCTCTCCTCCCTCTCCAGCCACGGCAGGGCCGGCTCATGCCCTATCGAGAGTGAAATGCAGGGAGCCATGGGGCTGGAGCCTCTGCACAGGAAAACAGGCTCCTTGGATTTGAATTTTTCCATCCCTTCTCCTGCCAGGCAGCCCCTCTCTTCCATGGCAGCTATTCGGCCAGAGCCCAAGCCTTTGCCCAGGGAGAGGTAAGCTGTATATCTCCTGAGGTCGCCTGCATCCTCAGGGAGCATTTGGAGGAGGGCTGCAAGTTTAACTTGCTCAAGGGTTGTTGCAGTTTGGCTGCTCTGTGGATTGCCTGTAGGTGGCTCAGCTGTCTTTTAGGAAGACAGAGCTTCCATGCATCTGCCCGCTGAAAATCATTTGACACACAGTGCAGGTTTAACTTTCATTGATTAAAAAAGCGGTGAGCAGCACCTGTCCATGACACTGTACATCCCTGGTCTAAATATGGAGGACAGCAGTGCTTTCTCAGCCCAAAGGGTGTAAATGCTGTTGGCAAAGGCCACTTTTTAAGTGGGATCCCTATGTTTTCATAAACTTATGGAGTTGTCATGTGGCGCTTCTGGCCTGGGGGCAACAGGGTGATGTGTTTGCTCATCAAACACAAGGCCCTTTCTGGCCTGTTCTGCAATACCAAAGACTGTTTCAAATTCTCCTTGTTTAGGATACTTACAGGTAGTGCCACCTTCAGTGACCTGTTACCAAAAATGTAGATCATTTCTAGAGAGGAATGTATCACCGATTCTGGAGTTCATTTCAGCAACCTGCTCTGCACGTTGGTACCTTAGAGTAACTGACCTTGCAAATCTGAAAAGAGTAGAGTAGGGACACCAAAACACAAAAGCAGATGGAGAGAGAGATAAATAACTAGAAACAGGGGTGCAGAAAAGAGCTAGGTCTCCATGTGCAGAGTCATATTGCCTTCAGGTAAATATTTTCTACAAGACTGTAGTTTGAGGACTGGGAAGGGAACAGATAATAGACTGATACGATGCTATTGAAATGCTTTCCACTGAAAAAGTGATTGATGAGAACATGAGAACTCTTCTCCCAAGTAACTAGTGATAGGACGAGAGGAAATGGCCTCAAGTTGCGCCAAGGGAGGTTTAGATTGGACATTAGGAAAAATTTCTTTACTGAAAGAGTGGTCAAGCCTTGGAACAGGGAAGTGGTGGAGTCACCATCCCTGAAAGTATTTAAAAGACGTGTAGATGAGGCGCTTAGGGACATGGTTTAGTGGGCATGGTGGTGTTGGGTTGACGGTTGGACTCGATGATCTTAGAGGTCTTTTCCAACCTTAATGATTCTATGATTCTATGTTTTTTACAAAAGCATTGAAGAGTTTGCAAAAAGCAGTCTAGGGAATTCTCTGGAGTCGATATTTAAAACAATTTTGGAACAATAGTAAAGTTCCAGAAGTTTGAAAGAAACCATTTTTGTCTGAGTGTATGAAAGAGGCTGAAGGAAATGGACTGGGCGAGCCACCTGACCCTGAATCCAGCTGGGGTCGTGGAGCAGATGATACAGGGATACTACAGGACAGTTCATACCTTACACAGTGTTTTACTGATTGCAGATTGAAATTTGGTTGGGAAGGTAAACAATGACACTATAACATATTTAAACTTCTCTAAGGCATCTGGTTTGTTACCATAAAATGTCTTGCTGAGTAAACTGTACAGAACCAACACAGCAGATACTAAGTGGATTGAAAACTGATTCACTGGCATCAAATCTAACTCTAAATCAGAAATCAGTAGAAAATGGTTGTGTATATATGTAGTGTAGCCCAACAACAATTGGGTCTTGGACCTGCACTGTCCAACATTATAAAGTCTTTGCTGTTGCAGAATGGAGGACTGAAGTCGGAGGTAGGTGATGAAGAGGGCAGACCCCTTGGTACAGAGCTAATTCTACACATTGGTAAGGAGAACACAAAGTAACAGTATATTTGAGAAGAGCCAAATCTGAGGCAAACTGGAGTGGCCTCAGAGAAGCATCATAAGAATGATGGAAGATTTAAAACAATATACTTGTAGTGAGTGATACCGGGAGCTCTGGTACACCTAGTAAAGAACAGGCTTAGGAATGGCTGGGTAACAGTCTGTAAGAGACTGCAAACAGGACAACCATGGGAATATTTTTACTCTAGATTGGGCATTTTGTCTAAAAGAGATGCTGTTGTTCAAGTGCAGCTATTAGCTTTGAAGCAGAAATTAATACAGGCAAGTCCTTCAGCATTGTAATGAAGGCAGTGAAAGCAGACTATCAGAGTAGTCTCTTGTCCTTAAAATCCATGAAAAAGCCATTTAGTAAAAGGAGTGAAAAACCAATCCCTAGTTAGGCACAGTTAATTTGGTCTACATCAGTTTAGATCAATGCTATAAGAAAAGCTAAACCAACATAAACCAGATTTAGCACCAGTGTAACTAAATCAGTGGAATGCTGCACCTTTAGTTAAATGTAGCCATGAAAAGAAGCCGGGAAGAACATCCCCTGACATCTCCAGAGCTGGCTGTTGAGGTGCTACTCTCAAAGCTTTACTGTAGAGAAGTCCAAACACATTATTTAATATGCCAGGGCTAGTCCCATATCCTACCAATTTCTCAGTTCAACTCAGGATGGTCTGGATAGTGAAACATTTAACTGATGACAAGTGGCAGAATAGAACCAGAGGGACAAGGGTTAGCTGCGTTTGCTCAGCCGTGCTGGAATCAGGAGTAAATAGATTTAGACTGCTAAAACTGAGTAAATACTTCCAATTGCAGTATATGGTGGTAAGGAACTTACTCTGATTTTAAGCATTTTAATTCCTGAGTCTTAAATCCGAAAATAAGCTATAATTGAAGTAACCCTAATTATACACAGCAGGCAAGATTCTCTAATTGATTTATGAATTAACTTCCATATCATTGGTGTATCTGCATTTCTTAACTGATCATATGGGTTTTTTCATGCCCATAATGGGAAATATTAATTACCTTCATGCACTAGGAAGGATAATGCTTAGTCCTGGAATAATCTGAGCAGATACATTAAACACTTGTCTCCTAGAAATTCATCCCACATCCATCTGTGCTCATTAAATCATCAAATTGCTCAGAAGTACCAAATTATATTTTTTTTAAAACAAATTACGGCTTTCAAACCACTTGTTCTTTTCACATCTGGCAGTGGAGGGACTTGCATTCAACGTCACTCAGCTCCATATTTTGCTTGTTTGCATTTTGGTACATTTCATCCGCACAGTAGGAGCAATTCTCTGAGAAAGAAAAGGGAGGAGAGGGAAAAAAAGGTTAGATAAACAGATTCAGATGCTGGATGAAATTTTAAAAAGCTGCAAAGCATTTCAGTGCACTTAGCTGTACTTGGCTTTCTGTCTCCCAACGCCCATCTGTGCGCATAGAGACAGAGCACTGAAAGGTTGGAAGAAGTAGCACATTCCTTAATATTTACGGCATTCGAAATGAGGCTCATGCAGGCAGCAGAGCACCGCTACTTCTCCCATAGAGGTTGGCTTGCAACTCCAGCGCTCGCCACATCCAGGCTACTGATCAAACCCGAGCGGTCATGCCACTAGCCATATCGGAGGTGCATTAAAAGGCTCTGATTGCTCGCAGCTCAATGCTCACGATTTAAGGGAAGAATTGCCTATTCCGCTGCCTGACAGCGCAGCCCTTCGTGGGAGTTGCAGGCAGTCAGACAGGAAGGTGAAATGAGCTTCACCCTCTCGGAGATGCTGCATTTTTTGTGCGTGGGGAGACTGAGGAAAACAATTATTTTATCTTAACCTACTTGATATTCCAAAACCTGGTTATGGAGGCTGGATTAGAAAGAAAATTGCTTCTAGCTGTCCTGTCATTTAGCCTTGATATTTAACTGGTTTGCTGGCATAGTTAGTGCCCATCTCTGCCTTCTGGGTGTAGTTTCCCACTACTGGTTTATAAAACCACCTTCCTTTAGCTGCTCTCTGCCATAAAGCATCCAGCAGTCCGAGCAACAGAGCAGAGAAATTTCCCAGGTGGTGTCCTTGTCACTTTGTGTTGTCACAAGTTGTCACTTGATTGACTGTCAAGTGACTGCCGCATCAGGCTGCGTGTGCCCCACACGCTCTTTTCCACCTGCTGCTCTGTCCAGTTTCTGCTGGTGCAAGAAACAGGACCAGTTCAGAGATGTGCTGTGGTGAGGCAGAGCCTGGGCCACAGACTTGCCCACGCTGTCGGTTCACGTGGGAGAGGGGTGTGCTGTCTACCTCGCAGCGCCAAAGCAAAATACTTTCCTTGCCACCCCCTTCAAGAAAATATGACTGTACATTAAGCAAAACAGGAGAGCTGAGCGTGCATGTGTGTGTGCATGAGTCATGTTCCCCTCGCTGCCTGGCACTGTTCCCAGATGCAAACCTGAGTAAAACATGTCACGCATTGTTGACTCTTTTATAGTAACTGGCACTAATTCTGCCATGTTATATTCTGATAAAGCAGTTGTATCCAGACTTACTGTCACGACTGGCATATCTGTGCCGTGTTTCTATGGTTTTCGTGGAGCCTTCAAGCAAGTTGTAACCACAACAGTGCTGCAGAATAAGATGGGAGCAGTGAGTTTGACCTTTAAAATGGACCCCTCCATGTTTCCATGTATCCTTTCTACAAATCACTGCCACATTAGAAATTGAGCTTCCAATTCAAGGAAGCATTCAAGCATGTGCTTAACGCCCATTGATTTCAATTTTGCTGTGCACGTATATCTTCTTTGCCAAAAAGGAAAGCAAAGGAAGGGGGTTTTCTTTCCTGGAAAATGATACTAGAGAAATGTCCCTGGGAGTAAGTTCTGACTGAACAGTGACATGTATGCACATGGTTAAGTGCTTCTCTGATTAGGGGTACCTGCCTTAGGAGTGAGAAACTAGAATTAACCATCTCAGAAATTGAATCCTGCAATATTTCCAGCAGAAGGGTAAAAGATCCAACTGAGATTTGTTCTTCTAAGGCTGCTGATTCAGACATTATAATATGGTGAAGTGGGTTCTGGCTTGTAGTGTGCAGAGGCACTTTGCAGGTCTCTGTAGTCTGCCAGCAAAAGGATGGAGAAATAGAGCTCCACCGATAAGCAAGAGCAGTGGTTAACTGGACTAGATGCCTCATTTTCACCAATTATCTATCCCCCACAAAACTAACTGTGTATCCCT